CCACGATCACACAGGATTCTTAACAGAGTATGTTGCCACTCGCTGGTATCGAGCTCCTGAAATCATGCTTAATTCCAAGGTAAATTAAGCAGAATGAATAGAACATGTTAGGCAGAACACTCAAAAGGCATTTATTATACCTCCAATTTAGTTGAGTGTAAAGTTTCCCAGCTTCTCAAAAAAAAGAAAAGGTAATGCCTGGTACCTGCCATAAAAACATGATTAAGTTGCAACACAATTCCAAAGCCCAGATCAGCCTGGATATTTATAATATCCATTTGATATTTGCAAATGGATATTTATAAAGTTTCGATGTGCAGCAGAACCACAGTATCACAATTATATTTTCTTTCACTTACTTGTGGGTCATTCCATGTCAAGTGGTCTGATTTCAGAAAAGTGCCCAGCTCGACTATCACAGATTTTGATGACATTTTGTGTGAACATGCACACACGTCCCCAATAAACGTTGGTAAAGTGTTACGTGTGCTGATGCAATACTTGCGGAGATATAGTCATTTGTGTGACCCCATCAGTTACATTTTCAGGTTGACTATCAATTCCCAGAAGCGACGCTAAAGAATGTGGCGCATAAATTCAATAATAAATAAGCGATCGTTGGAATTTGGCAGTTCATACGAACAGTACGGACTTCGGCTTGGAAACCATATAAGATACCCACTTTAGGCTTGGGAACCTAGGATAAGTTGCCCAATTGTTGGCTTGGGAACCGGACAGATAGCCACACAAGGCTTTGGAACCTCAAGGAAGAAACCAAACTACAGGTTTGGGATCCTGAACCAAGAAACCCATCTGTGGCTGGTATTGCACAGTTGTCGGGCATGCCCCCTATGGCGATGGGATTGCTGGGTGAAGTGCCTGAACTGGTAGTGACAGTGTCACCATGGATCAATGCAATATAATAGTAGTAATGATGTCTATATAAAACAAACAAGACAAAACAATAATAGAATGCACATGACGCTGCCATACAACATCTTCCACTTTGTCCCTATTTTTAGGGCTTTATAGGTCAGCGACAGTGGTGGGTTCCGGATCCCGTCGCAATCAGTACACTGCGACGGGGCCGGGCGTCCACCTCAGGCACGCACGCTGCGCACGCTCCAGCCGCTCTTGTACAAATTACCATAACAGTTCTAGCATACTTAACCCACACAGAGGCCCAACTGAAGGATGCTAGTATGAGGAAGACTGTTGTATAGGCTAGGCTCCAAAAACTTAAGTTTTCCTGAAAATGTTTCCTTTGCTGGGTCCACAGTTCAAGATGCCTCTCTTACGTTAAACTGAAAAATTTATTTGCTAGGAAGGAAACACATCCACATCAATAAAATTATGAGTGTGCATGG